GGCCATTGCTATTAGTTTGGAGGCCATTGCTATTAGTTTGGAGGCCATTGCTATTAGTTTGGAGGCCATTGCTATTAGTTTGGAGGCCATTGCTATTAGTTTGGAGGCCATTGCTATTGGGTTGGGGGCCATTGCTATTAGTTTGGAGGCCATTGCTATTAGTTTGGAGGCCATTGCTATTAGGTTGGAGGCCATTGCTATTAGTTTGGAGGCCATTGCTATTAGGTTGGAGGCCATTGCTATTGGGTTGGGGGCCATTGCTATCAAAATGCCTTTTTCATCTTTTTCGTCTCAGTTCCCTCCCGTCGCTGAGGTTCCCAGCTGTCGACCCTTGGCACAGCGCTTCAGGACTTCCAAGCACTCCTGTCGAAAGCCCATCTCCAAAAGCCTCACGACAGGAGCGTGTGGCGAGCAGCCTCCGGAGCCTCCGTTTGACTCCAAAAGAAAAAGACAAGTAGCGATGCACTTGTTACTAGTAGCAGTAGCGATGCTTCTTAATCTTGGGGACTGGCACTGGTTAGAAGATGTTAGTCGTAGTTACATGTAGTTACCTTTATGTCTCGTTGCTTAGGGTGGATTAAGGATGCTTTAGCTTCCATGTAGACATTTGGATAGATGCAACATGTAAAGCTGGAAGTTGCACTCCAAAGGTGTTGCAGGTCGGTCCCCACAATTTTGTTGCAGGACAACAAAGACAAAATATCCTGCCTGTCAGCTTCGTCGAAGACAACAATCTCGAGCAACTCCATGTGCACCTGACCCCCTTGCAACGCTGACCGTCAAGACAGACTGCAACAAAAAGGAAAAAGGAAGGACTCTTCGACTCTCTTCGACTCTCTTCGACTCTCTTCGACTCTCTTCGACTCTCTTCGACTCTCTTCGACTCTCTTCGACTCTTCTCTTGAATCAATGCGCACCGATTGTGAGTTCATCAGGTGGTCCAGGAGCCGCCCAGGTGTCGCGATCACCAAATCGGGCTGATGTCTCAATGAGGCTGCCTCTGCAGCGACAGACAGAACAGGCAGATCCAGATTTCTGCGACACGCGCGCGACACTAATTGAATGATTTGTCGATTGCTTTGCCACAGCACATGATGCCACTTTGCTCTTGAGACTTTGCTTACTACTTTGCCGGCACAAAAAGCCGCTTTTTGGATGGCCTGGTCATGCGCAATGTAACCTCCGGCAACCTCCGCGATAGGCCAAAAAGGGACGTTTTTTTCACTTCTCAACTCTTTGAGGCTGCTGCCAATTGGTGAGTCACCATCGTGTACCTCCCCAATCTTCTTTTGAGTTACTAATAGCAATGGCCTCCAACCTACTAGCGACGGCCTCCACCCTAGTAAGCCATGGCCTCCACCCTAGTAGCGATGGCCTCCAACCTACGAGGTATAAGTATAAGCACGATTAAAAGCATCCACTAGAGCTCACGCTTGTTGCATACTCCTGTGCAATTGCGTCGACGTGCAGCCCGACAACACTCCAATTGTGATACTTGGCTCACTTGGATAGGCCTTCAAGCATGGAGTGGCACTGCCTTGGCTCACTCTCGAAACCTTCGCCATTTCGCCATTTGGCACAAATCCTTGGGCACCCGACACTGCTAGTTCTCTTGTAGGAATCAGGACGACGGCCTTGGTTCCCACTGGTCCTGGAGATCACAGACGGCAAGGCAGGACGCAGGGCGTCGCCAAGACCCTCAAGCCGCTCTGGCGGAAAGGTGAACATCAAGCAGAATTGCATGTTTTTCGAAATCAAGCAGAATTGTTCAATGCCATCTGCATCTCTTCTCCTAAAATCAATCGCCCTGCTGCATCTCTCCGACGTGCACGTACACTGCTGCTTTGGCCTTTGAATGGTCACGGGCCCTGAACCCTGCAAAATTTACAAACACAATGCCTCCAAAATCCACCAAGTGGGCTTCCAGGCACAAGCGCTCTAAGGTTGGCAACAGAAAAGATGCAGTCTTGCCCGAACCTCAGCCGACAAGAACAGACTGTACAGCTGTCCCACAATTGGTCCACCCGCCTGTTTCAGCAGTGGCCAAGATGTCAGATCCAGCCAATGCTGGAGGAATCACATCCCTGGCAAACTGCTCTTTGGACCACAGAGAGTTGGCTCTTTCGACCACTCCAAAACCAGGTGGATCTTGTTGGCTTCACGGCTTCAGACGCCTTTGCACTGGTGTTGGGCACTCAAACTTCAACTCCGAGCAGGCCTGAAATGCGCAGGGTAGCTTCCCAAGTCAACAACTTCCTCCCTTTGCCCAACCGCTGAGGCAACCACTCGAAGTAATGGCCTGAGATCGCGGCTCAGATCAGGTTGGAAGCCATTGCAATCAGGTTGGAGGCCATCTCTATCACATTGGAGAACATTGCTATGAGGTTGGAGGCCATCTCTATCAGGTTGGAGGCCATTGCTATTAGGTTGCAGGCCAACTCTATCAGGTTGGAGGCCATTGCTATCAGAATGGAGGCCATCTCTATCAGGTTGGAGGCCATTGCTATTGGATTGGAGGCCATCTCGGAGGCCATTGCTACTAGGTTGGAGGCCATCGCTATCAGGTTCGAGGCAATTGCTATTAGGTTGGAAGCCATCTCTATCAGGTTGGAGGCCATCGCTATCAGGTTGCAGAACATTGCTATGAGGTTCGAGGCCATCTCTATCAGGTTGGAGGCCATTGCTATTAGGTTGCAGGCCATCTCTATCAGCTTGGAGGCCATTGCTATCAGAATGGAGGCCATCTCGGAGGCCATTGCTAATAGGTTGGAAGCCATCTCTATCAGGTTGGAGGCCATCGCTATCAGGTTCGAGGCAATTGCTATTAGGTTGGAAGCCATCTCTATCAGTTTGGAGGCCATTGCTATTAGGTTGGAGGCCATTGCAATCAGGTTGGA